TCTAACAATAAGTATTTATGTAAATTTATTCCTTGTAACTATTCTGCATACGGGTAAAAGTCAATAATTGAACGGTTTACGAGATATTTTACATAATCTAACATATTTTAATATAAAAAATAAAAAATATTTCGTAAATAAAATATTTAGTGTTCGATAATATACTTTATGTATAGATAATTATAGACTATTCCTATATAATAAACTATTCTAATTATAATTATAACTATTCTAATTATACTAGAATATTATAGACATAATCTAACATATTTTAATATAAAAATAAAATATTTCGTAATAAAATATTTAGTGTTCGATAATAACTTTTATGTTATAACTCATTATAGACAAATAAAAAAGATACACATTAAAAAAAATATACAATTTGCTACATGCATTATTATATTTTTTCGTAAAAACAACATGTTTGTTGTTTATACCAATTGTTTCGTCTAATTATTCTATACATAAAAGCAAGATCAGTGAAAACTAAATATTTTACGAGATATTTTGTATTTTATATCAAAAATATGTCAGTATGTGAAATATCTCGGAAACTGTTCAATTCTTGGATACATTTCCTTATATTTTTATGCAGAATATTACAAAAATCTATTTCATAAACGCTTAGAATAATTCTATAAAAAATAATAAATTGACTGAATAAATAAGCTTGAAATTGTCTCTTACAAACATTTCTATGACATCAACTATGCCTCCTTGAATAACATTTTTATTAAAAACATTTTTTTCTATAAAACAACATTTTATCGATAAAAATTTGTAACGCTTATTAAAACAATTTTTTACATATTTATTACACTATTTATTCTTCCTATATATAAAATATATTCAATTCAATTCAATTCTTTATTCGTCCCCTAAGGGATTGAAGGCGCTTTTGAAGGAGCGTTCCCCAACCTTACAAACTCTTACAATCTTACTTATATCTACTCTTAACTCTACTCTTACATCTAATTTACAAATAACTTAATTCTACCTTAACCTACTTATCTACTACTTTAGAGAGAGAAAGAGCCGTCCCTACCTATCGCTTCGCTTCGGCTTCCGATTCCCCATACATTCTCCACCACCTCATTCATACCTCACTCATTCTCCTCCTCATACTTCCTTCCTCCTTTTCCCCTCCCTCCCTCCTTTCTTTCCGTTCTCCCCTCTTCCCCTCTTTTCCTCTTTTCTCTCTCTCATCCATCCTTCCCCTTCTCCTCCTTCCTGCAGTATTTCCTTCATTCTTTCCCACCAGTTTCCCTTCCCCCCTTCTCCCCCACATTCTCCTATCACATGCTCCCATGTTTCATCTTCTATCCCGCATAACCTACACCTTCTTTTCCCCTCTTCTTCCCAGTATCTCGCCCCTCTCATCTCATTGTTCATTCTGAACCTAACTATCCTTCTCCATCTACTTTCCCCCCATCCCTTTCTCAGGTATTCCGGTAAACCCTCCTCCTTCCATTCCCCATACCATCTATTATATCTCGACTCTCTTATCCTCTCCCATCTTTCCTCCTTCTGCCTTTCCCTGTCTTTCTGTTCCCACCCCCACCCCTCATACTTCCTCTCCCTTCCCCTTTTTTCCTCCATCTCTTTCCCTTCTATTCCTCTTTCTTCCCAGAATTTCCTCCCCTCTCTTCCTCCCACATCGTTCTTTCCTTCCTCCCCTTATCCTCTCTTTCATATCCTCAAATCCTCAAACATTCCTCGCTAAACTTCCTCCCCTTCCTTCCTCCAACTTCCTCTCATACCCTACCGCCCTCCTTCCTGCCCTTATCCTAAATTTGTCTTTTCCTATCTCCTCTCTTACCATATACCCCGGCGTGCACCAGTCTACTCCTAACGTCCACCTAATCCATCGCTCCTGCATTGCCTCCACCTCTCTCCTCTCCTTCCATCCCCATATTTCCGCCCCATATTCCAACACCGTCCCCACCAACCTTTCCATTAGCCATACTCTTTTCATCCAGTCTCCTGCAAACCTTCTCTTTCCCATTCCCCACACCTGTCTTATCACCGCTCCTGCTTTCCTCTCTTTTACTCTGTTCTTTACCTGCGCCTCCTGCCCCCCGTTCCTCTGTAGCTTATACCCTAAATATGTGAATTCTTTCACTTCCTCTAACCTTTTTCCTTTCCATCTCCACTCCACTCTCTTCATTCTTCCTCCTCCCTTTTTAAACCTCATTACCTTTGTCTTATCCACATTCACCTCTAACCTTTTCTTGTCCATATAACTTTCCATTTTCCCCAACATATGTATCATCCCTTCTTCATCCTCCGCCAACAGTACCATATCATCTGCGTACGCCAAACAATGCACCTTTTCCCCTCCCAGTTTCACCCCCCCCCAACCTCCTTTTCTTAGCACTTCCCTCTATATCCGCTATCAGCAAACTGAATAAGTGCGGACTCATTGGGCAACCTTGCCTCACCCCCCTTGCCGTCCAAAAATTTTCTCCCTCCTCCTTCCCCACTCTTACCTTACTCCTCGTTTCCCTGTACACCTCTTCTATCCTACTCCTTAATCCCTCCCTCACTCCCCTCCTCTTCATTGCCTCCATTAACACCTCCCTATCTACCGAATCAAACGCCGCCTTCAGGTCCATAAATGCCGCGACTACCTTTCCCCCCTTCTTGTTTACCCTCTTATTCACCAGATAGTTCAACACATAGATACTATCCATCACCCCCATTCCCTTCCTAAAACCTGTCTGACTCTCCGGTATCATATTCTTCCCCTCCATTTCTTCCTTTAACCTTTCAGTTAAAATCCCCACGTATATCTTGTATAGCGTTGGCATCAATGTTACTACTCCTCTATAGTTTTCCACTTTATTCCCCGTTCCCTTTTTCAACAGTGGCACTATTATCCCTTCTTTCCACCTCTCCGGCCATCCTTCTCCTCTCCATACTCTGTTGCACATTCCCCATACCCACTCTTCTACCCTCTCCCCTCCATATTTCCATACCTCACTCGGTATCCCATCCTCCCCCGCTGCTTTTCCTTTCTTCAGTTTTCCCAGCATCCTCTTCACTTTCCTCCTCCCTGCTTATCTCCTGCTCCTCATCCCTCTCCCTTTTTTCTTTTCCTCCTCTTACCACTTTTACCTCTATCCCTCCCAATAAGTCCATGAAGTATTCCTTCCATTCCTCCGCCTTTATCTCCTCATTCACCCCCCCTTCTCTTTTTCCTTTCCCTGTTATAATCTTCCATACTCTCTCCTTCCGTTCTTGCCTCTATCGCCTCCTTGTACCATCTTAGCCTCTCCTCCTCCCCTTTTTCCTTTACACATTAGCCTATATTCCGCCCTTACTTTTCTATATCCTTCTCCTCCTCCTCCTTTTTTTTCCTCCATTCCCTTAACTTTTTCCTCCTTCTCACTTCCTTCC